CTCTAGCTCCGATGTCAGTTCCCTGACACATACCTTAGTCTGTCTCAAGTGATTTTTATGAATTTTACTGCCAAGCCTTATTTAGTAGTAGTAACAGTAGTTAAATTCCTCTTCCTTTCTGTTTGTGGCTTTATCATGCAGACACCTTAGTCTGTCCCAGGTAATTTTATTTACTTTATTGCCAAACCATAGGCTGTCTTATTGTGTTGCTGTTAATATCATCATCACCATGCACTTTGTGTTGTGTTTGACTTTTTCACATGGATGCCTTAGTCAAGTGTTTCCCAAACTTGGGTCTTCAGCTGTTTTTGGACCACATTTCCCATCATTCCTGACCGGTCCTGCTAGTTAAGGATGGTGGGAGTTGTAGCCCCAAAACAGCTGGAGACCCAAGTTTGGAAAACCCTGCCTTAGTCTGTCCCAGGTGATTTTTATTTATTTTGTTGGCTGGTCATGGTCTGCCTTATCGAGTCATTATTGTTGTCTGATTGTGAGCCACATATGCACTGCTGGCAAAAAACAACACATGGCGCTCCCAAGACCAGAGTGCCCAAGTGTGTGAAGAAAATACAGATGTGGCAGCAGCACTGGCTTTCTGAGTTCACCTCGCCTCAAGCTCAAAAAACACATTTACTGTTGCAGGCAGTGATTATATGCAGCAGCAGCAGGTTGGATCCTTCACCAGAATTGGGACTAAACGGCTGAGCATAGCCTAGGATCCGTTTGAGCTGAGAGTGGATCCTTGCCTGTATTCCTGGAAGAAGTCGATAAGGGGAAAGCTTTCAGAGTGCTACACCAGCAGCCTATGTCTGCGCTGGCGGCACCAGTACTGGTCTAGGGGACATCCCATCTAGGGATACCTGCCTAATGCAATTGAATTGGTCTCTAGAACCAAAATAGCAGCTTTTAATCCTCCCCCAAATCAATTTTAAAGGTTTCTAGCACACACAAAAATCCTGAACCTATTTGTCTGAAATTTGGCAGGTTTCTTACCCAGTGGCATCTGTCTCATGCCTCTTATTTTCAGACCAATTGTTTACAAAACACTAGGGGAGATTAAGTGATTCACTTTTGTCTCCTCTCAGTACTGGAAAGATTGAAATTCTGGGGAAATCACTGCATCCCTCCTCCTGGAATTTGTCAGAATTCACCTTCAGATTTAATCCAAACCTGCCCTCAAAATGAAAAAGTTTCTTTAAAATTTTATATCAAAATGTAAAGTTATCTAGCAGGAAAAACCCCGCTAGGAAAATCTGCCTATAATTTGGCAGGTTTCATACACTCTGTAAGGGCCACACATTTCATTCACTTCTGTCAAAAGAAAAGAGGGAGTGGGAGGAGGGGAAACGAACCCTCTTTCTTTCTGAAATTGACTTGGACCCAGATCCTGAGTCTAACCAAGAAGCCTCTGAACGTCTTCAGATGAAGTTGAGCTGTTTCCCAAGCACCAATGCAGTCCAAACCAAATATTGTGATTGGTACACATCCCTAGACTGGAGGTCACTTCATAAAAGCTTGATTTGGATTGTCAGGGAAACAAACAAAAATTAAATATACCCCAAACGAAATGTTATTATTTTAAAAAATGCAAATCAAAGGAGCAATCCAAAACTGGCTGTACTAACAGTAAATTGTAGGAGAATGTGTTTGTATGCATGCGTGTATTTTAATAAAAAGATGAGAAACCTCAACCTAGAAAGTGTTTTATGTGCAGTGAAAACTGAAATTAAAACTTGCTACATTTTCTGTTATGTGATATTATATTGAATTATATGACACTTCCCCTTATCCCACTGCACATGTTGGCTTAGTTCTAAACTCTTTACTCACACAACTATGATTTGCAAGGTGGATGACATTGTCTTGGCAGTACAGAGTCCTTCTTAGATAGGAGAGCCCATGAGAAAAAGAACCAAAAGCAAGGATTAGTGAGGAGTGATCTTGCCTGCCTTTAGCCATCAATACTCACCATTCCAAAACTAGTTCTACACCATTAACAATCCTTTTGGCACTGAAATTTAAGGCTCAGAGACTCCTTCTGCATTGACTCTTTGTGCTCTCACATATGTTTAAATGGTTGTTATCAGAAAACAAATACGCTGCACATTGAAACTGCTAAATTATTTCTGTTGGATGAGTTAATTGTCAAAATGTTAATTTGTCAGATGGATATGGTGAAGACTTCTGCAGCTTGGGAGTCCCAGTTGCTATGCATATCACCTCTTTGCCTGTTGACCAGCACAAACATTAAAGCCCTTCAGGTAATTATCTGGAATTTCATCATCAGGGGGTTGAAAAGCATTTGTTATGAAGAGAGAAAGTGGTGAAGTGGTACCTCGGGTTACATACGCTTCAGGTTACATATGCTTCAGGTTACATATGCTTCAGGTTACACACTCCGCTAACCCAGAAATAGTGCTTCAGGTTAAGAACTTTGCTTCAGGATAAGAACAGAAATCGGGCTCCAGCGGCGCAGCAGCAGCAGCAGGCCCCATTAGCTAAAGTGGTGCTTCAGGTTAAGAACAGTTTCAGGTTAAGAACAGACCTCCGGAACGAATTAAGTACTTAACCCGAGGTACCACTGTATTTAAATATCTACTTCCTCTAACCCATCAGACTCCAGATATCCTTCTATTAAAACCCTGAATTCCTAAATTAGAATTAAATGTAAAACTATGAGAAGCGAAAGCTTTCATGTTCAAGTTCTGAACAAAAGAGCTGCTATGGAGCTGCCACAGCATGGAATGTCAACAATTATCTGATCAGCAATAAGTTTCTTTAAAGGAACCCCCAACAATGATGATGGGAAAAGACCCTCCAACATACCTCAGGTCAGCCAGCTAATTTAGGTTGCACAGTGCAGGCCGCATAGCAAGCAGAGCTTTGCCGTCCATTGCCTTAGTGCTACCACCCTTAGCGGAATCTGCCACGCAAGGCAGCGACCTCACTCTGCCCAATGGTAGGGCCAGCCTTGGTCCATAGAGTTCAGTATTGTCTACTGTCAGGGAATGGTCCGAACAGGAGGATTGGGAAGGGTATCTGCAGTCAGATCAGCTTCTCTCCGAAGGTGGGGGGGAGAGAGAGGCTCACCCCCCTTCTCCCCAGTAGTTTCAGTAGGAGAGAGAGAGGAGAATACTGCATAGCCTCCACAGGAGTTACCGAGCTATGAGATAGCGGAAGGAGAGAGGGGAGGGAGAGAACAGCCAGCAGAGACATCCCTAGAGAGCCTGAGCGACCCCTCCTCCCCTCAGGCTCGTAGGTCTCTCCATATTAGGGAACAGAGAGCGCGGAGAGGCGGAACTTCCTGTTGGTGCCCAGGATGTTGCTGGGGGCGGAAGGGGAAGGGCTCAGAGTATCCAACACCTCTCTTTGCGAAGAGATATGAATTCTTGCTTTGCAACCAGATGACTGAATAAAAACGACTATAAAATACAAACTGCTTGTGATTCTCGCCTATGAAGTTACCGGGGGAGGACAGGACTCTCCACACATGACACCTACACTGACAGGCAGCAGCTGTCCAGGGTTTCAGACAAGGGACATTTGCAGCTCTACCTGGACCTTCCAGGGACTGAACCCAGGACCCTTTGCAAGGAAAGCAGTTGCTCTGCTGCTGACCACAGCCCTTTCTTTAAACGTGGCACCAATTCAATGAGGCTTTCAACCTCTGAAAGCAATAAATATAATAAGAGAGAAAGCAAATGTACTAATCGCTCCAAAACCACCTAGTGTGGGTTTTCTATGCATAAGTAATCATGTCACAACTTTTTTCAAAGTTAGGTATTTTTCAATTTTACAGAGCTAAAACACCTGTGTGTTCATGTGGGATTAAAAAAAAAAAAATCTAGTTGCTTAACTTTACTATTCCTAAATCACCATGCGGTGGGGGGGGGGGAAGAGTCACAGCTGCTATTCAAGGTGCAAGACAGTAATATTGTTTAGTTTTGGCTTCAGAGCAATGAAAATTTGGCAGCTTCAGAGGTAGGAATGGGAGGAGATGGGTGTGCGAGAGAGCCAGGGCTTGGCATGAAGATTTCATCACTGGGCTAAGAAAACATCAGACAGAATGGGGTCTTCTGCATGCGAATTAGACTGCAGAAATGTATAAAGCTGATTAAGGTATGCATTAAAAACTGCAAACCCGAGCCTCTCAGTTTTGACATACTGATTTTGCACCTAATCCTAACACTGTGGTGGCAGCAGAGCCATCTTTCCTATTGGGCTCAGTGGCGCATTGCGCCAGGGCGCTGGCCTCTCGGGGTGCCCCAGCAAGTGGGGGAGCTGCGTGGCTTTGCTGGCGGCCTCCCCTTTCCCTGCACACCCACCAGCTGTGCCCTGTCAACCATATGACTGGCGGGCATGCAGCTTGCCTCCAAAGCCTCTGTGGGAGGAGAGTGTTCCCTGCAGAGGCTTAGGATGGAAGCTGTGCCCTGCCAACTATATGGCTGGCAGCAGCAGGAGCAGTAGCAGCAGCTAGGCGCTCGCTCGTGGATGTGCGCGCTCTCCTGTCCATCCGTTGGTGCCCGCAGGAGCCTCTGTGCGCTCGCCATGGTGGACAGCATCTACCGGACCCGCTCACTGGGCGTGGCAGCTGAGGGGCTGCCGGACCAGTATGCCAATGGCCGCGCAGCACAGGTCTGGCAACTCTACATCGGTGACACACGGAGCCGCACTGCCGAGTACAAGAACTGGCTGGTGTCACTGCTGCATGCCCAGCGCTGCAATACGGTGCTCGACTTGGCCTGCGGCACTGGGTGAGTCACACGGCAGGAGGAGGACGCAGTGCTGGGTGCTGGATCATGACCCAGCTTGAAGGCCTGGGCTCCCTTCTCCCCAGGGGGGGTTTGTGGCTCTAATCCAGATCTAGGCATGCGGCAGCTGATCAGGACCTCCCCCCCTCATTGAAAGCACATGGCTCCACACCCCGCACCCAAGATTTCTGGAAACTACAATTCCCAGCGCCCTCTAACAAACCACCACTTCTCAGGATTCTTTGAAGGCGTGTGCTTCAAACGAGTCGGGTGTGATTTAAATGAAAGGAAAGGGCCCCCGTCGCTTTGTTGTGGGAGAGGCTCCCCCCCCCCGGTTAGGAATATGACACGTGGGCAGGAGGAGAGCGATCCCCACAGAGGCTTGGGTAAAGGTCGACAATTCTGGGAAATGGGGGGGGGGGGCGGAGGGATCTTTGCACCACAGCACCTGATATGCTTAAGATGGCCCTGGGTGGCAGGAAGTTCTCCTTGCTTGCCAGTAGGTGGCAACATCCACAGAGCTCCACTTTATTATCATCATTCACCCCTTCTAAACGCTGCAGTCATTTGACTAAGGGCCCCGAAGAAATTGCCATTTAGAAATGGTGTGCAGTGGCTAAGTGTGTTTGGTGGGAGCCTAGAGGTCCCTGGTTCAGATCTCACAGCAGCCACAAGCTTGCTATGTCACTTTATGTCACTGGGGAACATGTTGCAGTCTGAGGGGTGCATTATTCCCTTTGCAGCAATATTCCGAGACCAAATGCCAGTCAGCTGCAGGCATGGCGACACTCTTAGGTTTAAGGATACAGAGAAACAGTACACAAATAAAGTGACTATGACCCATGAGGCAAGGTGAGGCAACCATCTCAGGTGGCAGGATCCACAGAGGCAGCAGATCCCATTGTAGATCTTTATGCTCAGCTTCTCGCTATAATGTACGTCTTCACTCACCCCCTTCTTCCCTGCTGGGGAAGGGGGGCACTGTTTTGTGGTACACTTCAGCATACCCTCCAAGCGTACCAAGCGTACCCCCTGTGCTGCCACCAAGGAGGATGAGCAGTGGCAGCGACACTGAGCAGTGGCAAGGGAGCACCCCTTTGCCTCTCCATGGCCACAACTGTCAGCTTCCTCCCTTGAACAGCTTGTAGCAGCTGCTGGAGGGCAAGTGAGGAGCAAGAGAGAGTTGGCAGAAGGCAGGGCCACCCTGGGCAGGAAGAAAGGAGGAATGGAACCCAAGAAGTTTTGATTTTTTTTTTCCTGCATCCACATCTACTCTTGCCCTCTTGTATAATTTATTTATTGTTGCATGTTTTTCTTTTTGTAAATCTACCAAACAATACAACAAAACAAAAATTTACTGAGCCAACCAAAAGAAAAATGTGTATAATTTGAGGAGAAAGAAAGAGGCTAGTTCTTTCTTAGGTCATGCCTTGAACATAGCCAGTTGCCACCTTCACCCTCCCCTGTCTTGGCTTAATTATTTTTTATTTTTATTATTATTATTATTATTATTATTATTATTATTATTAATTTATTTATTCCCAGCCACTCTGGGCAGCTTCCAACAAAATATAAAAAATACAATTAAACATCAAACATTAAAAGCTTCCCTAAACAGGGCTGACTCCAGATGTCTTCTGAAAGTCATATAGTTGTTTATTTCCTTGACATCTGATGGGAGGGTGTTCCATGGGGCAGGTGCCACTACCAAGAAGGCCCTCTGTCTGGTTCCCTGTAGCTTCACGTCTCGCAGTGAGGGAAATGCCAGAAGGGCCTCAGAGTGGGATCTCAGTGTCCGGGCTGAACTATGGGGCTGGAGATGCTCCTTCAGGTATACTGAGCCTAACAGAATTAACCCATCGGTTATAGACTGAATGATCTCTGCTGTTGCACTCCCAACACTGGGCAGCCTGGTGATTGGAAATAATTGGTTTCACATTCTTGAGTTAAACTCAGATCATGAAGGCTGGCACTAATCTTTGGGAATGTTCGCATCTGGTGTTAGCAGCTCTTCTGGCCCTGATTCATGGAGCAAGTAGGTGGCTGGATTCTTCATGATCAATGCCAAGAAAAGGGAGAAACAAAAGAGAAACAGTTTCATCTGTATTGTAAGCCTCACGGGTGGCAGACTCTGCAGCCAGAATGTGTGAATGAAAGGAAGGATGGAGGGGAAGGAAGGGGGTCCATCCGCACCGTTTTTACATTCGATGTCTATTATTCAAAATAAGGGAGGCAGTTTTATAAGGCCTGCGAGTGCAGATTTCCTAGCCTGCTTCTTCTAAAATTACCAAGAATGCAAAAAAGGAAAATAAAATAAAACCCCAATAGTTTGACCTCTTAAATCACAAATTGGATAGGTTTACTACTAAAGTGCATTGTAAATATGTTTCCCATTATTTAGCTCATTTAGCATGTTCAGCAGTGAGCATTCGGATGTTTTGCGTCTTATTATTATTATTATTATTTCATAGCAGGCATTTGATGATTTTCCAAGCCATGGGGATATTTAAAAGACCTGAACGCAACTGGCACAATGCTAATAGGTCATTGTAAGCCATCTGGATGCAGACAAAGAAAGATGAAAGATGTAATAGACTCAGATCAGGCTGCTTATATTGGAGCCCTGGATGCTAAGATACTTAACATACTCAGCATTATGTTTAAAGTATAAAAAAAAGGCTGAATAGCTCTTACATATTTGTTCAAACCTTATGGAAATAGCCTTTCTGGTATTGTTTGTGACTGCAGCCCTCACTCTAATTAAGTAGAGATAAATCTTATGGACAGTACCCAATGAAGTACCTCTTCTAGGGATTTCTGCCTGCACAAGGGAACTTTCCCTTCCTCTCCTGTTCCCATGTGCTCCTGTGCCCTCCCTCTTCAGGAGGGCTGGAGGAAACTCCAGAACAAATTTTGGGGTGAGAACAGGGTGAGTAGCAGAAGAGAAGTTCGACTGCACAATCAAAAGCTAGAGGAACTATTTATTTGGATACCACCTTACCAAATTCTATGGTGCTGTGAGCAAGATTGTAGTCTTTGCCCAAATCCACAGAGAAGTCTTTATACGTTTGTGTGTGTGTGTGTGTGTGTGTGTGTGTGTTTATATGCATATGTGCAGCAGTGTGGTGCAGAGTGATCTACTACGACCTGGGAGACCAGTGTTCAGATCCCTGCTCAAGCAAGAAGCTCACTAGGTTACCTTATGTACCTTAGGTAGGCGAACCTACCTCACAGGGTTGTTGTGAGGATAAAATGGGGAGAGGGAGAACCATGTCAACCACCTAGAGCTCCTTGGAACAGAGGCAGAATGTAAATTTAATAAATGAATAAATAGCAGTAATAGAACACAGTCATGCTATTTAACCCTTCCATATTGCAATACATCCATACTTTATACAGTCACAATTTTCTTGTTATACCATTAACATAATATAATGCATTTTTGCATGTTGTTCTGACTAATCTATGCATTTTTATGTACACTTTTCCCATATGTATGCTTTTTTAAAACACTTTATTTGCTTGGAAAATGGCATCATAAAATTCAGAAAAGCAAGGATTTCAAAGGATAGCTGTGTTCTGGATTGTGTATTTCAGGAAGCCGGAATTAGGTAGATTTGTGCTAAATACCACCCCCATCCCTAGTCAGTACAGCAGGCAGATGATGGGATCAGAGAGAGAATCCAATGGGAGAAGCTGTCGCTGGCCCCCCCCTTCACTACATTCAAAGTTTCACACCTTCTCTAGGATGTAGCCTGATTCACATCTGGACAATATTTGGAGGACGTGAGATCACCTGGGAGCTCCATGTATGCCACTCTGGAGTCCTCAGAGAAAGACAGGAATGTAACAAACAAGGAAATGTGTGTAGCTGAAATCTGTAGCAAAGTGATGTCTCATTGCATGGCGTAAGAAGAAGAGAATGAATTTCTGTGACCAACTTTGAAGGAGTTTTTCAGAAGCATTTCCCCTTGTCCAAGAGGTCTACTTTTAGCACTTATTGGAAACCATATACCGTATTTTTCGCTCTATAAGACGCACCAGACCACAAGACGCACCTAGTTTTTGGAGGAGGAAAACAAGAAAAAAAATATTCTGAATCTCAGAAGCCAGAACAGCAAGAGGGATCGCTGCGCAGTGAAAGCAGCAATCCCTCTTGCTGTTCTGGCTTCTGGGATAGCTGCGCAGCCTGCATTCGCTCCATAAGACGCACACACATTTCCCCTTACTTTTTAGGAGGGAAAAAGTGAGTCTTATAGAGCAAAAAATACAGTATGTAATGGCACATCACAAAATAGTTATAATGCCTTCTGCCTGCATTGGATTACAGCCCAAGACTCTTGTAACACTGAAGCATAGGAAGCTGACTTATACAGAGTGAGACCACTGGTCCATCTACCTCAGTACTGTTTGCACTGACTGGCAGTGCCTCTCCAAAATTTCAGACGGAGTCCCCCCCCCCCCCCGGCCTACCTGGAGATGCCAGGGATCAAAACTAGGACCTTCTGCACACAGAACAGATGCTCATCCACTGAGCTATGGCCCTTCCATGTGTTTTAGCAAGGGACTATGGGAATACTGTAATGCTAGATTCTACCGCTTTGGTTAAATAAGAATTACTTTCATTTGCTTTTATTCTTGATAACTAGAGTGGGCCTATTTCCAGATTTTCCAGTGGATTTATTCCTTTGCATTTTAATGTACATCAGACTTCCTTTGCACTGTACTTTTTACATATTTTAAGCTTGGAAAAAAATGTACTGGAACAATAAGGATAATGGAGCAAGGAGAAAGGAGTCCCAAAAGCTGCATTAAGGGAATATGCATGACTTTCAATGCAAAAGCCAGTGACTGCAATCCTGCTCCATTAATATCCACGGATTTTGCCACTGATTCCTAGACGTGCAGGATTGCACCCAGAATAAACTAGCTTAGCACAACCTGAATACCACATAAACCTTGCATTTAAACTGTCTTAGTCCCCCCTGGTTTAAGCGCAACGGTACTGCCTTTTGTCCTTTGCAGATGCCAGACCCGGGTCTCAAACGGAAACAGAATGAAAAGCCCTTTCACTAATGACCCATGGATGCTTACAAACTAATAGAGCATCATTGGCCAGCTGCATCCATACCTAAATGGCGCATATGGTGAGCAAGTTCATGCACTCTCCCAATTAGGCCCTGTGTCTTAAAACTGCAAACCTGTTTAACAGTTAGCCGGGGAGTAGCTCTGTGAATACAGTAAAATGACACTTATGCTGAAAGTGGATGCTAGACTTTGCAAAAGGGTGAATTTATTGATCTATGCTTCTAACTGGACACAAACTGGAAGAATTCCATTAAACCCAGGAATCATATTAGCCTTCAGATGGCACAAATGGCACTCTCCATTCTTTTTGTTCGGACGGAGAAACATTATATAGTTGTGATTGACCCCCCCTCACACGATTCTCCCTCATACACCAAGATGCTGTGGGCTAGTAGAAGATGCACAGGGACCATATAACTCAGAGGATATCAACATGGTGCCTTCCAGAGTCTAGCTCCCATTAGTCCTAGTTCAGTACAACTTTTAGTGAAGGATGCTGGGAGCTGTAGTCCAGCAGACACCATATTAGCTACCTCTGGTATAACTGCTGCCACAGGAGTACACAAAAAACAGGTGTCCATGCAGAGAGAACCAGGAAACTATCCTTAACTCTGGCCAAAACCTTGTCAAATGATTAGGGCTATACTAAATATTCCCTAATATCAGTGGTGTAGTAGTTAAGAGCGATAGTCTCACAATCTGGTGAACCGGGTTTGCGTCTCTGCTCCTCCACATGCAGCTGCTGGGGGACCTTGGGCTAGTCACACTTCCTTGAAGTCTCTCAGCTCCACTCACCTCGCAGAGTGTTTGTTGTGGGGGAGGAAGGGAAAGGAGAATGTTAGCCGCTTTGAGACTCCTTCAAGTAGTGATAAAGCAGGATATCAAATCCAAGCTCCTCGTCTTCTTCTTCTTCTTCATCATCATCATCATCATCATATTTTCTTTGAAATTAGCCCAATATCTACAGCCAAACTAGTTGCTGGAAAAGGTAGTTACGTAACTTTAACTCTCTTGTTGTTTCAGTGCTGTTTGGCACCCCTTTCTTCCCGGGCTTTTTTACTGAAATTCTCCTACTTCACTGTCTGTGATCCCATTTGTCCTTACCACTGTTTAATCTGTAGTGATTGTAGTGATTTGTTCAAATCCATTGTACTAGCAGCTGCAACATCATCTGTTGTTGTTGTTGCTGCTGCTGCTGCTGTTAAATTTATATACCACCCCTCATCTGAAAATGACAGCACAGTTTACAACATAAAAAACACAAAATCAAGAATACATAACATAATAATATGTACATATACATAATTTGGTACCATGACCTTGTCTGGAAAATGACATAGGTCACCACTGGAGATTAACTGCCAATGAGGGCAAATGAGGGAAAGGACAGAGAGGGCAAATAAGAATAATAATTGTGCTGAGATCGAGCAACAGGCAGGAGAACAAGTTGGAGCCAAGCGGCATTGAAACAACACAGTTTCCCAATGAATGCGAAAAATCAGACAATGCTTCAATAATCTGACTGTAAAAAAATTGCTGTGGAAAAGTGTTTCCTCAAAAGCTGAGGTAATATCTCAAAGCTTGCCATATATACCGGAGGGTGGAGAAGGTGGATGGAGAGAGCTGACAGGTTGAGCTTGTAAACAGTGAAAATTATTTTACTTGAAAAGAAAATCCTTTTTAATTCTCATCCCACCCCCACCCCACGAAAAATTTTAGAGGTTTCTAGTATATAAGGCCCTGGACCTATTTGTAATTTAGTAGGTTCCTACCTAGGGGCACATCTCTCATCTCTACAGTTTTCAGACTACAGTACTTCTCCACAAAGCAATAAGAGAGATTAAGTGATTCCTTTCTTACTCACTGTAAGTCCAGTCAAAGGGTCATCTCGCTTCAGGCTGAGGGAACCAGCATTTGTCCACACACAGCTTTCTGGGTCATGTGGCCAGCAGGACTAAACCACTTCTGCCACAAGGGAACACTGTGATGGAAACCAAAGCACATGGAAATGCCATTTACCTTTCCACCACAGCGGTACCTATTTATCTACTTGCACTGGAGTGCTTTCGAACTGCTAGGTTGGCAGGAGCTGGGATAGAGCAATGGGAGCTCATCACCATCGTGCAGATTCGAACCACCGACCTTCCATTCAGTGGTTTAGACCATAATGCCACCCACTCTCTAGTGGTTTAGATCACAGCGCCACCCGCTCTCTTTTAGCTTAACTAGACCCAAATCACGCAGTCCATGAAGTGCCTTGGACTAAGGAGCATTATTTTCCAAAGCATTAAATTGGGCTCTTGAATCATGTGGTGAGTGCATTCTCTCACTTCACTTCTTTCAAGCACACTTTGTACCTTTCATCCTCCTGCTTGGGAAATGGGTGGGTTATGGTTGTCCTGAGGAGGTTAAAGAATGTTCCACTGCATAGCAATCTATGAAAGCAGCAAACAGGATTTGATGTTCATTACTCCACTCCATTCTGACATCGGAGGTGCAAAGGGATTTTAGCAAGTGTGAAATGTCTTAAATTCCTTAAGCCTCACACCGTTAGAGAGCTACCAATATTAACTAAAAGAGCAACGGTGTGAAATTACTTTTGGTCACTTATAATCTATCCAGACTCTAATGCTGTGTTTAAAATTAAGCCCTGATTGCAAAGGATAAGAAATGTTCTCCTCTAATTTCTCATCTGGGGAGATATAAAGTGACTTACGGTTAACCAGAGGAAATGAAAGAGGGATGAGCCCTACAGTTAGAAGTCCAGGTGGTTCTACTGCTTTCTTATTTTTCTTCACTTTTAGATTTTTTTCCTTCCCTCTCTTCCTTTTGTTTGCGTGTGTGTGTGTGTGTGTGATTTAAAAAAACCCCGCTTGTGATATTGTGAAGGGAAGAATGTAACCCTTCCATTTTATTTCTCCGCATATAAAGGCAAACGTGTTTCATTAAAACAAGATTCCAAACGTGTTTCATTAAAATAAGATTGCTGAAAAATGCTCTGCTGATGACTAGATCCTCAGCGGCAGATTAATGGAATGTATGCAGTTCTTTACAAACAGATAAAATGTTATCTGCAATTCTTAACCTATATTGCAGCAGCAGTACGCAGGATGGCTGTCCTTTAAAGTTCTCTTGGTTACGCATATGGGTTAATATAGTTACTGGGGGTTATTGTTCTAAGGGGAATTTGCCTGTGAAATGAAAGACATGAAAAGATAATGATAAATCTAAATTATGCAAGTCTGTTTAACAGAAATATGTGGTGAAACGCAGCCAATGGGACATTTCTAAACTGTGGGTTCAGTGTTATAAAATATGTGAGAGTTGCCCAGGCACTGCAGAGCTGATGGGAAACATGATCCAGCCTGCAGCACCAGTCCAAAGACCAAGGGTCCCTGAGAGTCGAAAGCACCTGCCTCCAAGGAAGAACATTGTGTCAAGGAGAAGTATATGCAGGGGCCAGGTGGCAGAAGAACCGACCGTCACGACAGGTTGCCAGGAACAGATAAGACAAGGAAAAGTCCTTGCCATCTGCTTTTATTCAATATTTACAGAGAGAGGCTTGAGAATGCAACCTCTTGGAATAATAGCGTTGTCCTGAGTAAATCTCTGTCCCCTCTTTTCTCCTACTTCCTCATCCATCACCTTCTTCCCTATGGGTGGCGCTGAGGACCCTTTGCTTCTGAGCCCTTTGCTTTCAAGGCTCACCAGGTTCTGGGGGTGGGTCTGGAATGCTTTCTAGACATTGTGTCTGTCAGCTGTTGCTCTCCTGGTGCTTCCTCTCCTATTATTTCCCAGCTTTCCCCGTCATCTGAGCTGTGACCTCCCTCAACCCCCTGTTGCAATTCTGAACAGTCTTCTTCTCTGGAAGGGTCAAGCTTGGGAGGCGGTCTCCACCATTCCTCATCTGCCCAGTCCCTGACAGCAGGATACTTGGGCTCAAGTACCTGCAGAAGCATCTTCTCTGATACCAAGTGACTTGATCCATAAGATTCTGGTGTGTATGTGTTCTGCTCATGGTCTCTGTGGGGATTTCCAGTGAGAGGGTGGTTAGAAGAGCATTCTCCATAGCAGGGCCTCAATTTTGGAATGATCGCGCCCTGGAATTTGATCTGCGTTCTTCATTGCTGGGATTTTGACAGCAACTGAAGGTGTTTTTCTTCACCCAGGTCTTTTAATGTAAAGGTAAAGGGACCCCTGACCATTAGGTTCAGTCGTGGCCGACTCTGGGGTTCCAGTGCTCATCTCGCTTTATTGGCTAAGGGAGCCGGCGTACAGCTTCCAGGTCATGTGGCCAGCATGACTAAGCCACTTCTGGCGAAACCAGAGCAGCGCATGGAAACGCTGTTTACCTTCCCGCTGGAGCGGTACCTATTTATCTACTTGCACTTTGACGTGCTTTTGAACTGCTAGGTTGACAGGAGCAGGAACCGAGCAACGGGAGATCACCCTGTCGCGGGGATTCGAACTGCCAACCTTCTGCTCGGCAAGCCCTAGGCTCTGTGGTTTAACCCACAGCGCCACCCGTGTCCTTGATAATGTAATGTTATCATTAATAGCATTTTCTGGATTGGGTGGTTTTTTTTAATGATTGCCATTTTAATCAGCGTTTTGGTGACTTATTTAGGGATGCATTTTGTTGGCTTATCTTGTGCTATACATGGTTTGGGGCTCTGAGGAGGAAGGTTGACTCATAAATATAATAAAATAAGTAAGAGCATAAGAACAGCCTTTTGGATCAGGCCAGCATCCTGTTCTCACAATGGCCAACCAGACGACTGTGGGACCTGAACACAAGCGCCCTCTCTCCTCCTGTGGTTTCTTGTTGCCTCTCACCATGGAGACAGAACATAGACATCAAAATCAGTAGCTCCTGGTCTCCTTATTTCCCAAGAATTGGGCCAATCCTCTTTTAAAGCTATCCAAGTGGTGAACATCACTGCTTCCTGGGAGAGCGAGGTCCATGGTTTAACTATGTGCTGTGTGGAGAAGAACTTTCATTTATCTTTCCTGAATCTTCCAGCATTCAGCTTCCTTGGATATTCTTGAGTTCTAGCATCTCATCACTCTCCCCATGCCATGCATCATTTTATAAACTTCTGTCATGTCAGCTCTTGCTCACCAGTTCTCTAAACTAAAAAGTCCCAAATGCTGCAACCATAGCTGTCAACTTTTCCCTTTTCTTGCGAGGAATCCTATTCAGAATAAGGGAATTGCCCTTTAAAAAAGGGAATGACAGCTATGGCTGCAACCGTACTCCATAGAGGACCATCCTTGCCCTATCTATAGGGTCGAGAAAAAGCAGCAGGAGGGTAGATAATATCTCTCCCCCCTGCCCTTTCTCTGCCAAAAAATGAACACTCCATTCCAACAGTCAGTTGCCCTGGGGCTGTGGAGCAGAGGAGAAACATATGCTGCCCCCATCCATGTGGCACACACAAACACATACAGATTTAATGATCATTTTAAACAAACACATGGGCTTACAAATGTCTAATATATTTTCCCCTCCGTTGAGATGTCAAACTTCACTCCCCCCCACCCCTTTTTGAAAAAAACAAATGTGTGTGTTTTGAATACAGTGCCAAAGAGCCTTGGTGCTCGAACACACAATTCCACTTGTGTATATGGGACTGATAATGTGTAATAAGATACAATGCCATCTTAAGCAACTTGCACAATGGACAAGAAAGGATTCTGCCACCTCAGCTTCAAGATCCCTGCCTCCATCTGACACTTTCGACCGTCCATAGTAATGATGCTCGCTCAGCAAGCAAAATCTTCCCGTAATCCTTTTACCAGCCAGTGTTTTGCGAGTGATGACAGCTGCCTGCTCTTTCTGGGTTACTAATGGCCTCGGATACAGAACAGGCTTTCGGAGCGCTCCAGTCCCAATGATATATACATAAGAGTATCCCTAGCAGACAGTTTCTGCATCGGTAGGTGTCTCAGGTATCTCGCAAGTGTCTCAGGAGGGATGCAGGAATTCGGAGATGGAAAGATCCTTCTGTAAGCAAGGTGAAGTCCTGACAATCTGTGCCCTTTAGGGAACAACCAGAATATATCTGTTTACTTTGAAAAAGAAACCAGCCACCTTCTGTAGTTGCTGGCCTGCAGTGGCTATCCTTGTCCTCTCACTGCCACAGTGCTCTCGTAACCTCTGCACCTTCTCTTCTCTTCTCCTTTCTTTTTTAAAAAAAATATTCTGTTTTACATTTAAATCAAGGAACAATGAACATCGCATTTCCAAAACAGGAGCTGTGCTTTTGATGTACTGTATGTTGTAAGGTGTTCTCGCATGGAGTCTTATATATGTCCATATATTTCCTCTTCACAGAAACCCTTAAATGCCACCCAACCTCTGTTTGTTTCTGGGCATCCTGAACACTCCAGACTCCAGATTCACATCAATATGGCCTCTGGTACCTTTAGCAGCAACTTTTGTAGGTAGAATCAGCCAGGGCTCCATCCTCCCAAGCTAGATGGAAATAGGTGGCAAAGCTGAGGGTACGTCTTGCAGAAATCACATCAGTGTCCGTGTGTGTCTGTGTAAAACTCTTTGCGAGGGATATCAAATGCATGGATGTCTGCTGGCGAAATACTGAGGGGGGCAGACACAGCCCCATGTGCCCTGCAGCTCCCTCCATGTAGTGTCTGGATGGGCCTGCGTGAAGCCCCTTCTACTGTACCAGTCTCAGTGTGCAAAGCTGTTTCTTTTCTTATTAGTGCTTCATATCAGGCACAAAGGGCTTAAAGGGTTTAAATTTATCTGGGCAACCAGCTCATTTGCCTGAAAGCTCTTCCTCTAATTTGTGATGTGTGGGGTCTGAATGCTGTGTACAGTAGCACTTTCAGCTATTTTTATTTCTCATACTCCAGTTATAAGACCTGGCACCGGACACAAATGAAAAGGCTGGATTTGGATTAGCTCTAGAACAAATAAAACTCAGATTCTTCTGCAAATAAGCCTTAAATTTCCAGGTCATCTGAGACATCAAACGAAGCAGGCTGGAGCCTACAAAATCTTTTGGCACAATGTGCTTCATAGTCTTTAAAGTGCCACAAGTGTCTCAAATATTGACCCAGTCCTTAAGGCTGAACCAAATGTGATTCTCTCTGTGTGTGCGCGTCTGTGCAGGCCCCCAGGATTATCCTTAAGACCTTAGCAAGCAGGAAAGGGGAAGATTAACCCTTTCCTTTCCCATCATGGCCCTGAGGAAAAATGCCCCCTTTGCGGTTCTGATGAAATCAGTATATGAGGAAAGGCCCTAGCTCCATAGTGGAACACCTGCTTTGTAAGGTTCAATCCCTGGCATTTCTATATAGGGCTGGGAATGCCCTCTGTTTGGAAACCTACAGAGCTGCTGAAAGTCAGTGCAGACAATACTAGCCTAGACAAACCAATGGTGCAACTCAGCTTCCTATGTGTCCTGCACCTGCTATTCACTTTTTTTAAAAAAAATAAAAAATGGATGTGAGTGTAAGTTATACATTATGGCTGTGTGAACACTCATTTACTTAGTTCCAATGTGCTCCCACTCCTGGTTTGGGAAGTGGCATACATACAACATTACCCACAAGTTCCACTGTGTCCCATGTAGATGTGTTTAGGATTGCAGGCTTGGCCTTCTAACGTCAAGTCTTCGGGGAATAACGATTCCTCCCCCGGTGGCAGTCAAAAGGCAAATAACCGAAAGAGTTCTTACCACATGATTTATTCAGTATTCACAGAGAGAGACAAAAGAACGCTGTCTCTAAAATGATGGCGCTGCTCCAACTGAGCTCCTCCCCCCTCCCTTCCTAGCAACAGGACATCCCCTTATGGTGGCCACCAGGGGCTAATTGTCTTGGAGTCCCTCGCTCTTCCACTTTCAATGCACGTTGAATTCTGGGAGGAGGGGGGTCAGAAATGCTCTCCAGTGATAATGTGTCAGCTGGCTGCCCTGTCTCTGTCTCCCCCTTCTCTTCTCCCAACACCTCTAACTCTTCTGTTCACCTGTCTCTGAGCTGTGACCTTCCTCAAACCACTGCTGTAATTCAATACTGCCTTCCTCTTCCCTGGGAAGTTCAGGAGGAGGGGGCGGTCTCCACCATTCCACCTCAGTCTCGTCCCTCTCAGTCCAGTCCCTGACATATAATCACATCACCTGGTAGAGTTGATGTGTCACTTAGCAGATCTGGGTAGGAAGCTGCATCCCTGTTTGCATTAGAAGTCACATCCCTCCAGTTCGGTGTGATCTTCGTGAGCATCATGGTGCACATGCAAACCCAGACGTCCACCTGCACCTTTCTTGCACATGCAGTAGCTGTGTCACACACCTTTTCTGACAATATATGAGACTTGGTTGTAGTTTCTTTTGATGTTGTTGTTCCCCCCCCCAAAAAAGTCAATAGAATAACACGTTAGATGTTGCACGCAAGGCCCAAGAGGTCGTTTCGCATAATTGCATAAGGAGATGAAAACCCCACACCTGTTTCTGCTCGCTGCGGAAGTGGCATCAAGTACAATGGATTGCAAGTGAGCTCTGAAAAAAGGTAAATGGTCAAAAATCACCAAACATGCTGAAAAGTGGAAATATTGAATTTCCACAGGTGGCTTTTAAAACTGAATGTTTCCCGTTTTGTTTTGTTTTTAAATGCCATGAATGAAAAGATGTCATGCAACCAGACTTCAATAAAACAACCTTGTGTTGGGGCAAAGCTAGTTGATGGAAGTTCTACCTCTGTCAACAAAACAGAATCCAGGTGAAGCTTTGTTGACATTAATATTAGTTGATTTGCTCATTCTTGTGGGTAAGAGCTAATAATGGATTTCCACATATTCAAGGAATGCATTTGGATTTTAAAGACAAACTCTTCAGCAATTCCCTTTATAGCCAAATAGCACATTAATGCAGAGAGTAATAGTGTAATCAAATCCTGCTATGAGACAAAGGAAAGTCATTTTTCTTTCCTTTCCTTTTTTTTAACCGTAGGAATTTAGCAGCCTCCAGTAATCACACTGATATACTCTAGACTCATACTTACTCCCAGAGAGAGAAGTCAAGGGAATAATAACAGATGCAAGGCTGGGTATCAGTCTCATGTGAAATTAAAAACAACATTGACAGTTTCGAGTGGGGAAGGTTTAAATTCAGAAAGTGTTGGAAGATCTAGTTGAAGATTAGTATTAAACCTCATGTGGGGGAAAGGGAGGTGAAGTCTTTTCCATAAATCATCCAGATACTTAATTTGATATCAAACATGAACCTTAACATGTGTCATATAATCTGGCTTAATACACCCGGGGCTTATTAAAATGGTGTGAGCCAAAGAGTACAGTTATTTAGACAAGTTTGAACAACTCCAATGCAAGGCAGAAAATCTACCTTAATTTGAAATCATCTTGGAATTGTCTTATGTAAGGAAAAAGAGGGAGGGAGGGAAAGAAAATATTTACCAGTTCTGCTGCTATGAATTTTGATCCAAAAAGCAACAATCTTGAGACCAGCAAGATTATTCTAAGAAAAGGTCATGAAATAAGCTTTCAGAGGTAGAAAATGTTTTGCGGTTGCCCTGCATGTCAATTTTGGAGAGAGAATAGATGAGGGCTGAGAACCATCCATGCCACCATTTGGTAAATCATTTCAGTGGTAAATTCTGAAATATAGGAGTTCATTCTCTTCTGAAAGTGCTCTGGGGCTGAAGTGATCCTGAAGGATATTTTCTTGAAATGATATCACTTCAATGGAGTCACTCTAGACTAGACCAATGTACTGGTGTTGTCCCAGATCTAATTTAAAGTATATTCATGGCAAAATTACGACTGAATGGTGAACAGGGGTGAAGTTTGGCATGGAGTGTTACAAAACTATTCTATTTGCCCAGCATCCACTCAGTGTGTATTTACTGCTATGATTTTCAAAATAAGTTTGCTGGAAACCTTGAGAATTCCTTGAAAAATCCACCAGGGCTGCCTCCCTCAACCTAGTGCCCTCCAGATGTTTTGAACTACATCTCTCATCAGCCCTTGTCAACATGTACACCTGAAGGAGCATCTCTACCCCCATCTTTCAGCCCAGACTCTGCGGTCCAGTTCTGAGGGCCTTTTGGCAGTTCCTTCACTACAAGAAGTGAAGTTACAGGGAACTAGCAGAGGGCATTCCCAGTAGTGGCACCAGCCCTGTAGAACACCCTCCCACATCAGATGTCAGAGAGATGAACAATTATACGACTTCCAGAAGACATCTGAGTGCAGACCTGTATTGGGAAGTTTTTAATGCCTGCTGTTTCATTACAGACACACACACACACACACACACACACACACACACACACACGGAAGCCACCCAGAGTGGCTGGGGCAAGCCAGTCAGATAGGTGGCTTAATAGTAAATTATTATTATTATTATTATTATTATTACTTTGTAGTTCAAGCCTTTGCAAGTGCTTGACTCCAGCAAATTACTGTGCTTTGAAACACTGCCCTGAGTTACCAGCTGCTTTTATCTTTTGTGGTTTGAGTGTTGGATACGTATTTTTAAATGGTCTGTATATTGCCTTGGAGCTGGTGTAGGAGGCGGCATAGTAGTGTTAACATAATAAAATAAGACATTATTGCTAATTAGTCCTAAGCTGATCAAGATGCAACGAAGAACCTTGTGGTGCAATTATGTCTTGTTTGAGGAGAACAAGTGGAATTTTGAATCGCATTAAACAGTCACCAAACAGCGGTAAGGCAATCAAGTTTAATCACATTTCCAGAAACTCATACCGACGTTCCTTTTCCTTTTGGGAAGCCAAATTCAGTCACAATTGCATTCTTCTCCATATAATTCTTTCAAACCTCTCTGCATCAACAGATACTGGCAGCTCTACAGTTTCGGCATTGCACCCTCCCAAATGATAACAGCAGACATTCAACAAGTTTTGTAATGACCAGTGATGACAGATGTAGATGCATCTCAGGTGCATATGGAGAGGGCAAAGTAAAGAATGAAGATGTCTTATAAGGTCTATTATAACTACAAAGAAATGTAGAAACCAGAACCAAATATGAGTTTTATTTGCACGGGGCGGGGGCGGGGGGGAATCCATTATCTCCATGAATGTTAATTAAGCAATATACCTTTTAAGTATTGGTTGACATTACATGTATTCCAGGAGAAAATTCC